ACCCACCTCACCTCATGGCTTTGTCCCATAAAACACCTTTGAGAAGGTGGGTGAGCAGGCAACCCACTTTCTGGTTCCCCTTCTGTCTCTCTTAGAAGCTTTCTCTCAATAAATTTTTCCCACTTTTAAAAAAATAAATAAATCAGACAAATAAGCTTAAATATCATATGGTTTCTCTATCACCAAGTAGATAGGTAACAGCAGAGAGACGGATGTTTTACAAATCCGAAGGGGACCAAGAGAGGGAGAGAGGAGGGAGGGTAGAGAGGGATGTGTTATATTATGTACCAACTCCCCACAATGAATGTAATTATTATGTACTGTAAACATACACTAATAAAAATAAAATTTTAAAAAATTATTGTGTTTATAATAATTAATTAGTTTCAGGAACCCCACAATCATCTGTAAACTCAAAGGAAAAATAAATGCCAGATCTTCCTAGAAGTAGCAAGTGTCAAAAGACTTGACTAGAGTTCATACTAACTAACTAATGCTGGCACTTTTGACAGGAAAGGATTTACTCTGGCAGAACTTAAGTTGAAATTAGCCCAAGAAATGCTGTTGCTGCATTCACTGGAATTTCTCTTAGGGCTCTTTCAATTGGTCAGTTTCCAAGTACACATGTGGCCATTTGCTTCTATCATGTAAGCCAAATGTCACCCTAAAATTATCTTCCTACTCTATATTCTAAACAGAAGGGAGAGGCTAGTCTGACTTAAAATAAATTGTTTATAATGTTATGAAGAAAATGTCTGATTTGAAATTCTGTTTTTATTTTTTGTGATGGTTTTACATCTGAGATACTTAAAATTTATATCAAGAAACCCTTATTCTGCTATTGTGGAGAATTTTCCTACTTTTCAAAAATGTTAAGTTACTAGTTTTTGCCTACAAATCACAACACTTGCTTATTTACCTTGCCTTCCACCCCAGAACTTTGGAAGAACATTCAGGTTCCTGCATGTTAAACCCTCACTCTTAGCTCCATATATTACACGGAATTCATTGCCACCTCCTTCCTTCCAGCTAGTGTGTCTAGGTGGTACTATTACCTTCAAATTAATGTCCCAATTTTTCCTAAACTTTAAATTTTGACATCATATTTATCATGAAAATGCAAGCTTCATTCCTTTTTTCACTCCTAAAAGAGAGAAGTAAGTATACATTCTCTAGGATCACTTTTAGGTATCATTAAATCAAAGATTACAATCTAAAAATAAATCAAAATAAAGCCTATTTAATAGCTAATTGTCAATTATCTTTTGATATATTTTATCAAATCTACCTGTCAGAAGCCTGGCAAAGTTTTAGTTCACAACAATTTTATTCTAATATGTATAGCAAAATAAAATTTTTAATTCTGATTAAAAATAATATTTGATGATATTCTATATATTTATTTCCCTACTCAAAATTGATATCTACACACAGAAAATTATACTTCCTACTTTGGTAAATCTACAAAGTACTTTTTAGAACACCATTTACACATTGATTTTAATAGATTCCCATTTAGATCATATGTTTGAACATAAGGACAATACCAGTCATATAACAGATACTCAAAATATAGTTTAATGTGCTAGTAGTGACTTATACTGCTAGGTATAATACTTCACAGTACCCCACATATTATCTGCTCAGTAAATGCTGACTAGTGACTTAGTAAAAAGATATAAGGAAAACCTTAAGGGATTCAGAGACAATTGTTTTTAGGTATCCCCATATGTGTTGTTTTAAAATACTGAATTAAGATATTTTTTAGAAAAAATTGACAGCTTAAATGATTTTGTAGGTCTCTATATATCAGAAATTAACAAGAAAGAGAACTAATTCTAGATGACATTGTAAGATTCCTATCAAATGGACAGATACAGTGTGATTCCTAGAGACTTATTCATGCATCTTCATTAAATATTCATTTTTCTTTTTCGATATATTCCATCTCTTTTAGTGGGCCCCAGCCTACTGTAATTTTCATGCCTACATTTTTTGTAGCATCACTTGGCTCATGAGTCTAATGACATAAGAGATTATGGAAACCAAGGAGTAAATATCAGTAAGATCCATAGATATTGGACTTTTGACAGTCCTATTTTTCCCTGCTCCAATTGAGACAAATACAGGTAAAATTCACTTTTGTAATACATTTATGAAGAAATGCTGAAGTTAGTCATAAAATACTATCTCCCAATCTACAATGCAGTCCTTTACATGCATATTTTTTACCCTCAACAAAGAATAACTACTAAATCTTAAAAACAGTAGCAAACAAAGAACACTGACAGAAGAAATAGCATACCTCATTTTGATATAGACTGGTCTGAAGAGGGAATGTAGCAACCATATTGCTGTCCAATAGAAATGTAAAAAGACCATGAGTATAATGTCATTTTACTTTTAAAACATTAAAATATGCTTACATAGAATACCCCAGAAAGCACCACCAGAAGACTTAGAATAGAAAAATTAGCAAATTCTTTTTAAAAAGACCCTGAAGACATTAGAAAATGGAAAGACAACTCCTGTTCCTGAGTAGGAAAAATCAATATTGTCAATTGGCCATATTACAACAAAGATACATAAATTTAATGTGATGCCAGTCAAGATACCAACAGTATTCTTCACAGAACTGGAATAAATAACCTTAAAATTCATATGGAACCATAAGAGAGTGAGAATTACAAAAGCAATCATGAGCAACAAGAGCAAAGGAAAAGGCATCACAACCCAAGATGTCAAAATTATATTATAAAGGTATAGTGATAAACATAACAGCATGGAACTAGCACAAAAACAGACATGTGGATCAAAGAAACAGAATTAAGCATGCAGAAACAACTTCAGACAATTTTATTCATCTTATCCTTTACAAAAAGACCAAATACATATGCTGGACAAAATATATTCTTTAATAGATGGTCCTGGGAAAATTGGTTATTCACACCCAGAAGGATAAATCTAGACCCATATCTTTCACCTTGTACTAAAATCAAATCAAAATTGGTCAAAGATCTAGACATAAAAACAGAAACACTGAACCTGCTGGAAGATAAAATGAGTAAAACTCTTGAAGACATAGGCATAGGCAAGAACTTTCTGAACAGAACCTCAATTGAAAAAGCAGTAACATCAAAAACCAACAAATGGGATTATATCAAATTAAAAAACCTTCTCAGCAAAGAAAATAACCAACAGAGTGAAGAGACAACCAACAGATTGGGAAAAAAAATTGCCAGCTACACTTTAGACAGAAGACTGATATCTAAAATATACAAAAACCTCCAAAAAATTAGACTTTAAAAAGTAAATGATCCACTCAAAAAAATGGGCAACTGAATTAGATAGACACTTCTCAAAAGAAGTACAAATGGCCACTGGGTATATGAAAAAGTATTTAGCATCTTTGGTCATTAGAGAAATGCAACTCAAAACAATGCAGAGATTCTTACTCCAGAAACAATGGTTATCATCAAGAACTCAAATCAGAAAATCCTGATGAGGTTGTGGGAGAAAAGGAACCCCTTTTACATTATTGGTTGAAATGTAAACTGGTACAACCACTATGAAAATCAGTAAGGCAATTCCTCAAAAGATTAAAAATAGAAATTTCATTTGACCCAGCTATCTCGTCTGGGTATTTACCTGCAAGAGTTAAAAACATCACATTACAGTGATATATGCACACTCAAATTTATAGCAGCACAACTCCTAATAGCTAGATATTGAAAGTGACCTACAGGCCCATTAACTGATAAATGGATAAAGAATATATGGTATATACCTGCAATGGAGTAACACTCAGCCATAAAGGATAAATTTGAGTCATTAGTAGAAAACGGGTGCATTTTGAGATCAAGTAAAATATATCAGACATAGAAGGTTAAATATCGCTTCATTTCTCTTATATGAGAAACTCAAAATATAATTTAAAGAACAAAATAAAAGATGACATGAAAAAGGGAGGTAAACTTTACGAAGACAGGAAAGGAATCTGGGGGTGGAAAGGGGGAAGTAAAAATCATTAAGATGTGATACATATATGGACCAATTCCCCAAGATGAATGTAAACATTATGTATCAAAAACATGGGCCAGGGATTTAGCTCAGTGCCACCATGCCTGTCTCGAGAGCACAAGCTCCTGAGTTCAATCCCTGGTACAAAAAAAACCCCTCAAAAAACAAAAAACACAAAAAACATTATGTATCAAAAACACATATGAATAAAAAATTAACTGTGATGAGAGCCATTTAATTTAAAATTTTCTAGCAGCCACATTAAATAAGTAAAAAAATGGTAAAAGTAATTTTAGAAATATATATTTTTTTAATCAAGATGATTAAAATAGTATTCGACATCATGAATATTAAATACTGAGATATATAAATGTTTTGTACTATCATTTTAAATTTTTTTGATTTTATATTCACTATGCCTCACAATTGGGATGTCTAATTTTTCATGGCTAAAGATAAATTTAATTGTACAAAGACAATAAAATTCTTGATCAATAGAGCTTCTAGATACAGATTTTTTTTACGCCATCATGTTAACTGTTTTTAATTGGTAAGAATTTTTAATCAACCACTGGTTGAAGAGCAGAAAGAGGATAAAATTAAAGCCTGATCATCATTTAAAAGAAGTAATGAACATCCACAAGAGAAGTTAACTTACCTTGTAAAAAAGCTGTTATCCACCATTTTGCTAGAAAAAGCTATTGAAAGCAAAATAATTTGAACAGTTTTGTTCAGTGGAACTTTGTGAGTCTGTGGACAAATAAAATCTGTTATTTTTGGAAAAAGTAGCATTTGTCCTTTGAAAATTCCAGGAACAAGTAGGAAAACATAGAAATTTTATTAATTAGGAGGAAGTTGTTTTAAAGAATTAAAGAAATAGTCATAGCATTAAATTATATTCATGTTTATAAATTTATTTGGTTTTCATCACTTGTATATTTATCTCAATTTTTGACATACTTGTCAGACACAAAAAATGGTGTATTTAAGAGGCTTTAATGAATAACATTTTTGGAATATGCTTTATTGTTACAAATATGTCCAAAGCAAACAAGGCAAACTATTAAATGGACAAAGAAATTCCAAGCATTTGTCCAACTTAAAAAAGTATGCCTATTTTTTGTTTTTCACGAGATGAATACAACCACTTCTAATATATATGTGAATGTATGTAGAGGTGTGTGTGTATGTAAGACATACACAATTCTGGAACATTTCATAGTGGTAAATTTTTAGTGCACTTCCAAAGTGCTATAACAACTGTCATCCACAGACATCTACAGTCAAACATTACTGGACGAGTACAGCAGAGCAAATAAGCAATTATTAGCAGAACTCCCTAGGAAAAACTTTTTAGAAATGGAAATAAACAGAATCCACTTCTCATGTGAACAATATAGAAAATAACCTTTTTTATGATCATATATACATATAGTATTACCTAAACTAAGAAAATATCTTCTTACTGTACACATAGAAGTGTATTATATACACAACAAATGTTAGCATTAGAAGAAAATGTACCATGAGGAGAATGTCAGAGATAATAGCAGGACAGAGATATATCCATTAAGGAAAAAGCAAAAGTGAAAAAAAAAGGAAAAGTGTGTCAAGGAATGCAATGTACATGGTAGGGAGTGGGGTAGGGAAAAGTAAGCAGAAGGTAACAGAAACTAAAGTAGAAAACAGCAATGAGTTATGATACAAGAATGAACATTGAAAGTTGTATGAGTGGATGGGGAAGGTAAAAATAATTCCTCCTCTTTGTTTGAAGCTGTATATACACTTATCTACCATAGTCAAAACCCAGGTAGAATGTGAGCTAACTAAATTATAATATGAAAAACACCAACTATTCCAAAAACTATTTGTTAGGGTTTGCTTTGAGCAACAAACAAGACACAAGTTGTGAAGATGTTCAACAAACTGAATATGCTATACTCAAGTAACAGAAAGTTTACACAATATTCAGATTTATTATTTCCTTTCTTTCAATGCTGGAAATCTGTAAACAAAAAGCTCTCCAACCCACAGGCAGGAAAAACTTCATGTACTCCATTATTAGATCTTCACTGAACCACAGGCTCCACAGTTAAAGAAAAGCCTTTTGTAGGAAAATGGATGGTCTTGAGACCATAATACTAACTGCAATAAATCAGCCACAGAAGGTTAAATACTGCATGGTTTCTCTAATATAAGAGATCCATAATATAAATAATTTAAACAGTAAAATAATACAAAGATGCTAAGAAATTGGGAGATAGACACTATGGAGATGAGGTGATCTGGGGAAGGAGGAAGAGGGAAGAGGGGGTTGAAAAGTGATCAAGATTCCATATGTGCATGTGACAATACCTCACAATAAATGTAATTACTATGCATCACAAACATACCAATTTAAAAGTTTTAAAAAGAGAAGCCTGACATCAAAAAAAGAGCAAAGATGTTAACAAATGAATCAAATAGAAGTTTGCAGATAGAAATGTGAGCGATGTTTCCATTCCTGGAATTTACAACAAATTCTGGGGTGAAAATTTGTTCAGTATAGTTATAAAAGAAATTATTTTCCTGTTTCACCTTAAATTTCAAGAATCTTTATTTTTGGTACATGAATAAGTTAGTGATCCTAATTTTTTTTCTTAAAGTAAGAAAGATTTAGGGAGCAAAAATATAAATCATCAAAATACAACAAAACATGACATTTTTTACTTATATTCAGAAAACTTGAGTGGAGAAAGTCTAAGCCGGTATATTAGGTATGTATACGCATTGCTATGATCTGTTAATAGCTGGGAAATTGAGGCCTAGTGAGATTAACTTATTTAATAGCACTTGTCCAAAAACACAAATTGGTTTGTTTCTCATAAAAGACTGGGATGTCAATTCCAAAAAACAGCTTCCTCCCATCCAAAGAGGTTAGGAAGATAAACAGTGATAATAGCCAACATATTTTTTGCTATGTTTTTCTTGTTAGTTTTATCACCATTTAAGAAAATACTTTAGCATTGAACAGTGTTTCTAATAAACCATTAAAATGTCTTAAACAGCATTTCCTCTTTTCATAATACTTAGTAATTCTTAGTAATCCATAATATTGAAAATCAATACAATTATTAATGTATTGACCAAATCTGCTACTAAAACAACACAGGAGAAAAATAGACACTATGAGCCACCTAGTGAAAAAACACAATACAACTTAGGAAACATTTGTGATAAAAAAATTTTGCAATCCTATCAAGTCTGTGGAACTAACTACTAAGTTCAGAAAAGACAATAGAAGAAAGTGAATCCCATCACAAAGATATACTTAGCAAAACTTAGACTATGGCAAATGATTCATACAGAATGAATTAATTTTTAAATGAATAAAATGCAAGGAAAAAGACAAAAGATGAACATATAGATGAAAAACACATGTAAGATTTACCAAGGTAACAAATATCAAAATTATTAAAACTACTAACATTCATGTGACAGATGGAAATTTAAAACCTGACTAGATATTCACTGCTATTAAGGCTTACTGTTAATGTTAAATATGATTAATGGAATTATAATTTTCTTCTAAAGAAATCTATGCATATAGGATATATATATATCATATATATCAGATATAGATATAGATATCTATATAGATCTATATCTATATACCTATAGATATACCATATATATATATATGTGTATATCTGGAATATGTTCCTAAAGAACACTGAAGGATGAAGAAGGTAAACTATTAGATGAATAAGATTGTGTAATAATAATTATTGAAGTCGGGTGCACAGAACATGGATATTGTTTCAACACATGTTGACAAACATACATATAACATAATCAGTGAAAGATCTCCATATATTTTTCAGGGAAAAAACATATTAGCAAAGAAATACAGAGCAGAAAAGACCTTAGAAACAATCTATTCAAACTACTTCATTTTATACATAAAGAAATTAAGGCTCAGACAGGTTAATTGACTTGTTCAGGGTCACAGAACGTGCCATTTCCAGACTCAAGATCAGAATTTAAATCTCCAAACTTGTAGTCCAGGGATGTGTTCTTTTGCAAACCAGTAGGAAGTGACTGCGTTTAAGCATTCAGTACCGAGTACCCTCAAAATTGAGTGAAAGAAAAATAAGCCACATATAATAAATAACAAATAAGAGTTGGTTCATACCAAAAATGACCTGCCGGTCACTGTGATAAGATCTGTTTCTTTCTGAGAACCATGGTTTCTTGCTGGATTGGAGAAACCAAACTGGGTTTCTTCCTCCTGTCCAAAGAAGTCAGAGTCGGGGTGTACATTCCAATCCGCTTTGGTTGGTGTCAGTAGTTCTGAGACACTGTTTTCACAAAGGGTACTCGAAGGAGTCAGAGCTTCTGTGTCCACTGTTAGCTTATTGCTGGGTGTCAAAGCCTGGGGCTGGGGCTCTGGACTGGAGTTTTTCATAGCCAAAGAGCCTAGAGATCTCAATGGCCCCACACTTACACTGGAGACATCATCCATATCTAAGGGGCCCTGCTGAAGGCCAGCGGCTGTTGTTCCAAAAAAGAGAGAGGTATCCAGACTTTGAGGAAGGTCACTGGTGGCCATCAAGGCCCGAGGGTCCACAGCCTGCCCTAAGGGGTTACTATTACTGGCTGGGAGGTTCCCTGCCAGAGTTGAGCTCACCGAAGCGACATCAATAGTCAAGATTCCAGAATTCACCAATGCCGTGTCCAGCACTGCAGCAGAACTGTTGCCAGGCACGTCGGAGAAGGGCGACACAATCTCTGCCTCACTGAGATCGTTCTGTCCCTGGCTGGTAAGTTCACTGCTGGGCGTAAGGGAATTTGCAGCTTCTAGTTGAGCTAATAGATCATGGCCCAGGTTGTGCCTTTTAGCCATGTGGGTCTTCATGCTGTGCTTGGATGTGAAGAGTTTATTGCAGGTGGAGACAGGGCAACGGCTTTTCCAAGTGTCCACATCCTGCAGGTGTTTCTTGGAGTGAATGTAGAGACTACTTCGAGCGGAGAACCTGGCACAGCAGCCTTCCACGGGACACACAAAAGGTTTTGTGCCCAGGTGGGTTATGCTGTGGCCTTTCAGATGTTCAGCCCTCGTGAAAGATTTCCCACAGCCTTCTACAGGGCACGTGAACCTCCGGTCATCCTCGTGCTTCCTTTTGTGCCTTAAGAGTTTAGACATGCTGGTGAAGTTCCAGCCACAGCCGTCAAAGTCACACAGGAAAGGTCTCTCACCCGTGTGGCTCCGCAGGTGAATTTTCAGCCTACAGGCCTTGTCATACTGTTTGCTGCAGCCAGGGAAAGAGCAGGCAAAGAGTTCCTGTTCCCTGAAATGGGCGCGGTTATGGGAAAACAGGGCACTCACTGTGATAAATGTCTTTTTGCAGCCGGAAAACGCACACTGGTAGGGTCTCTCTGGCTCGAAGTGGCTGCGCTGGTGGGCACTGAGCTTGGCCTGCGTGGGGAAGCTCTCCTCACACACCTCGCATTTGAAGGAGTTCTCCTGCTCGTGGCCCTTCATGTGCGCCTTGAGGTTGTACACGGTGGTGAAGCTCTTGCCACAGCCTTCCACTGGGCAGCTGAATGGCCGCAGTTTGTCGTGAGACTGCAGGTGTCTCTTGAGCTTGTAAGATGTCGTGAAGGTCCAGCCGCAGCCGCCCAGGGGGCACTTGAAGGGCCGCTGGCCTTGGCTGCTGCTGTGAGTCAGCAGGTGCACCTTCAGCTGGTGCTTCTTAGTGAAGGTTTGTCCGCACTGCGCCTCAGGGCACAGGTACAACACCACGCCTGGGCCAGGGCACAGCGGCCCACCGGGGCCCTGGGCCGAGGCCCGGCCCTCAGCCTCCTCCTCCGGCGCAGGGGCTGGCGCAGGTTCCGCTGGCTCCGCCAGCAGGAGGTCGGGCGGCAGCTCAGGGCAGTCACCCAGCTGTGCCAGGTGCGGGAATCCGGCTGGCGGGGCGATTAGACCCCCAGCCTGATGGAAAGGCGCGACCCCTGGCTCCCAGACCGGCAGCGGGGGCGTGGTCAGGGTGAGGACGCCGTTCTCAAAGCGTAGGAGCAGATCCTGGTTGTGGACAGTGATGGTGCCTGAGAAGGCCGCGGCGGGGCCTGGGCCCGGGCCCGGGGCGGGGACTGGGGCCGGGACTGGGACCGCGGATGGGCAGTGGGGGCTCAGCGCAGGGCGGCCCGCGGGCTTCAGGCTGCTCTCTTCCCCCTGGGGTCCCAGGCCTGCCTCGGTCTCCTCCCTCCACACGGGCCCTTCGTCCCGACCGGTGACCCCAGTCTCCACGTCGCCACCCACCGGGTCAAGCAGCACTAGGAAGAAGTCGTCGCCGCCGCCGCCGCCGCCGCTCGGGTGATCCGGCCTCAGCGCCAACGGGCTTGGGCCCAGGCCCCGTGAGGCCCTGAGGGCCTCCTCGCTCCGCGGCCCGGGCCCGCCATCTTGGGCCCCCCGGAGCAGTAGGAGGTGGCGTGCCGGGGCCTGACCGGCTGGCGGGTCAGGGCCTCGGTGGACCCCACCGCCGCCCGCGGGGCAACGGCCGCCGCCGCCCTGTGGTGTCCGGCGAGCCGGGAGTAGCCTCGGGATTTCCATCTCTGTACCGGCGAGGCTTGGCTGGAACCAGAGCCGCGGCGGAGGCGCGACCCCGCCCCCTGCCGCGGGCCCGAACTCGTTCCTGAAAGGAAAAAAAAAAAAAAAAAAGTGCAATGCGCAGAAACTGGCCCTATCAGATATTAAAACGTATTTAACGCCACAGTGATTTAAATATTCTGGTGCCGGGTCTCTGGAACAGAAGAGAAAGCCCAGAGGCAAACCCTGATGTACATAAATTAGTCCACAGTTTATGATCAAGGAGGTCTTCTTTGGTAATGGGGAAATGACAGCACATTCGGGAATGGTGCAAGAGTACCTAGTTATCTATCCGATAAAAGCAACTTAAATCCGTACTTCACTGTATATACCAAAATAGACATATCCTAACCTTTCCCGGTTGCTTAGTGCTATTTGTGTGTTAAAATTATTTACTGTTTGACTGGCTGGCTGGATTGATGGATGAGAGAAATTTCAGAGAGAATGAACCGTCTTATATGTTACCATTAAACACCAGTAGAATTCCTGTGGCAACTGCTCCTCCTCCAACAACTTCTATGCTCAGAATTATCTTGAGCAAGGTCCTGGGGAAAAAAATTTCAGCACAATGAAGCTTTTTGTCCTCCGGATGCAGATTAGAATAAGAGATGGGGCCAAAACACATTAGCACTGTTCAGCCTAGAAGTGCTACACCTGGAGGATGAAACAATTTATACTGAAATCTGGAAAACCCAACCTGCTCCTGGATTGTCCCTGTACAGTGCTCAACCTAAACCAACTCTACCCTTCCATCACTTACTACACCATGATAAATTTCATGCCCAATCTCGCAGCACGATGAAGACATTCTTCAGTTTATTGTAGATTGTGCAGCACGACTGCAATGGACTCTCTCCAGTAAAATACACAGACTAGTCCCTGGTGTACCTGCTCTCCTTTAAGTGTGGTAGCCTAGTCTTACAGTAAACCACTCCACCTGTGATGCCTGGTGATCTTATTAGTGGTGAGATGATGTTCCAGCTTCTTTGTCATCAGTGAGTTGGCAATTACTGACATACATATAGGGTGACACGTATGGAAATGGAAAAGTTTATTTTAAGGTGATGATGACATTATGGGTTACTTATCACTTAGGTAATCCCTGATCCCCACCCCCACACCTCTTGTAGTGCTAGTGGACTGGAAAATCAAGCCCCATGCTGTTCATCCATAACAATTCAAACCTTAGCCTGGCAAGATAGCGCACACACACCTGTAATCCCAGCACTCAGGAGGCTGAGGCAGGAGGATCAATGCGAGTTTGAGGCCAGCCTGGGCTACATAGTGAGCTCAAGGTCGGCCTGCACTGAGTAGCGAGACCTGTCTCAAAACAAAACAAAACAAAACCGAATCAAACTTCATTAAAATGTCTGCTTTGCACACTTTTCTTTCCATTACATTTCCTTGGAGGAAGCATTTTTCAAATCTGAGCTACAGAAGAGTGCGTAAAATATATCTGTAGGGTTTATATACTCTAATTTATAAAAGCAAACACCCATATAACCAGAAACAAGGTCGAGAAATAAACCATTGCCAGCCTGCAGAATATAGTCATTGTATTCCTCCCAATCACACCCCATGCCCTTCCATATGGGTGTAGTCATTAGTCATTATCCTGAGTTTTGTGTTGAGCTTTGAATAGGGTTCCTTCCAAGTGGATATCCAATTTTCTCGGTGAACCACTCATTGAAATGTCTTCCCTTTTCCAGTTGGGCTATAGCAACAAGTGCACCTTAAAACAAGTATCTACATATGTGTCGGCTAATTTTTAATACTCTCTTTTAAGTGCTATAGCCCCATTTATGTATTTGAAATGCAACAATGTCTCAATTACTACAGATCTATAGCCAATTCTGGTACATGGGTAAGGCAAGACAATTCGACCTTGCTCCTCTCAAAAGTACCTTGATTATTTTCTGGTGCATGTCTTTTCCATTTTAGTTTTCAATTTGTCATAAAATGTTCAACCAAAAACTACTTTGTGGTTCTAGTTGGGATTTTGTTGACATTTTAGATTTGGCTCTTTATCAATATTGAATGTTTGACTCATGTCTATGGTGGCCTGTTTGTCCTTTTAATAAGAGCTCCTTTAAGTAACATTTTATATTTTCCTATCAGACAGCCTTTTATCCTAGGCACATCATCTTTTGCAAATACTATATCAGAAATTTAAATTTTCTATATATGTTGCTTGTAAACAGATTGCGAGTGGCTTTTATGTTAATGTTTTGGCCTACAAGCATCTAAACTCTTATTGATTCCAATAATTCATCTCCAAATATTCATTGCAGCATTTTACGTAGACATTCACATCATCTGCAAATAATACTAGAGCTCCTTTCTCTTTTCCTAACATTTTATTCTTTCATCTTCCATTACCGCTTTCTCTGGGGGCACCCCCTGCCCTGGCACAAGATTGTTGAATAGAAGTGGTGATAGTGGACATCCTTACTTAATGCAGCTCTGAAAGAAAAAGTTTTCAGTAATTTTCTGTTAAGAATGATGTCCAATCAAGAGACAAAAGTACACAATGATCTAGATGGAGGAAATCTAACATAAAGACTTGTAGAACTAAAAGTTTTATATAGGGTATAAAAAGAAATCTGTATGAGGTTTTCTAGACCTGGGTGAGAGTATCCAAGCAAAGATAAACTTAGACTGGGGGCCCCTCCCCAAGGCTGAATTTCATACTTCATTGGAGAAGAACCTACTGGATGATACAGAAGTTCCACTGGTCTATCAGTGCCAGAGGTGTTTCACAGAAAGTGAGCTGGGCTATAATCATAGAGCAAATAGGAAGCAACTCTCCAGGACATGGTAGTGTGGACAATCCATGATCAGTGACCAGTATATGGATAAATAGTAAGGGGAGTAGGGAACAGTTCCTGGTTTAGTTGGAAGCCTGGAATAAATAATGCCCTGCACACAGGATTAGGAGGCTTGCAGAGTTGGGAGGATGACATAAAAATAGCTCTGTGTGTGTGTGTGTGTGTGTGTGTGTGTGTGTCTATGTTGAGGGAAAAAGTGGACAGAGGGAAACAGTGGGCAGGTGATTTCAAACACAGGATGTTCCTAGCAAGAGGACCCCAGGAAGCTGGTCATCAGCCCAAGCCAGGACTACATGTTTGCTGAGGGACAATTGTTGTGGACACGTGCCTGTGGCAGAGCACCCAGAATAGACACACACACACACACACACAGTTCTGAGAGCCAGGAATCATAGGAGGGTCTCTTCCTCCTTCAGTGTCCTTCTAGTACTCTCTAATAAGAAAGTGTAAGGACCTGCTCTTTGATGTTACTTTGAAGGGGAGGGGAAGTGCTTAAAGAATCCCTTCTTTGTCATGACCATACACTGTAGGGTGAATTTGTAACTGAAAGGCCATAAATTGATAATTGGCTTCATATCCTTTATCAGGTTAGAGGAGGCCCTTCTTTTCTTAGTTTCTATGAATAGTAAGCACTCTACCTGCCAGGGTTATAGTTGTTAGCTCACACAAGGGAGATTATCTACCATCCTGTTGTTTCTCTCATCAACTAATAATGAAAGCAATAGCCCTCCCCATTTCAGGAATTTTAATTGCCTGGTAAGGATTCTTGGTGGACCCAGGATTCCCTGGACTAAACAGAGTTTCCTGCAAAATCCAGGCTCTGGCACAAAGGGCTGTCACCAGCTTAGAACAGAGAGCCCATAAGCCCTGCATTTTGATACTGCCTAAGGCTTGCCTGCTTTACCTGCAAGGAAAGCTTTGCTGTGTGGTGAGATTGCCTCTTTCACCACAAGTATGAGCAGCAAATGTTCTCCTCGGGAATAGAGTGGTTTATACCATATGTATTGCTCTGCTCTCCTCATAGTTGTATCACCAGATAGGATGTGTCCTTGGTTTAGTGATAATGGAAATCAAAACTGAAGCAACAGTATGAATTTACAAGAAAAAGCTCTAATTATGAAGTAAGGGAAAACAATATGGAGCACATCTTCCTTTGTTGGTCTTGCAAAGTGTATATAACTAACTATACTGGCAATTAAAGCTAGTGTCAGCTTTCTCCATTTGGTTCTAGAGTCCAAACTGGATAAAAATTTATGGGAGAAAATAGCATATGGGTTTTGCCATTCTCACCTGGCAAACAGTCCATTATTTAAAGGTGAAACTGGCAACTTGTACTGAGGAGAGACACTTTCAGGAAGAAAAAATTTTCTTCTTGTGGTGTACCCCTGTTCAGTAGATATAAAAAGATAAATAACACTATAAGAAAAATATCTTAACAGTTGCTGATCCTTGAATATCCTTTACTCTGGGACTGCTAAGGTGCAGAGCCTATTCATGTCTTGTATTCAGAAACCACAGATGACAAATTAACCCACAGCCTTCTATCCCCACACAGGACTGGGCCTATTTCTTATCCTGGGTGCCCTGAGAACTTGAACCCAAGGACCTGAATATGAAGTGGGAGTTTTTCCTTTAAATGTACCTGCTGCTTGACCCAACTCTCATCATTGTCACTCTGGCAGTGGTGAAATTCAATCGTGTAGTGGGGAATTCTTTCACTACCTGGAAGAGCATCTCTTTAGGCCTGGCCCCTGAACAGCTGTCATCACTAGACATCCAATGAGCCATTCTTACTTGCTACAAATGACTTAGAACCAGGTTATGTGGAAATACACACCTCCATTCTGCATTTTCTAAGGGAGGCCTGCATAGCCGTGGTGTCTCTACTTACAGGACAAAGGGGAATTTGGGAGTTCCCTTCCTGGCACGGGCTAGAAGGGACCCACTAGACATTGCATCCTCCCACTGACAACCTGGGTGACACCTGCCTGATTAATCCTGAACCAAGGGGTGAAAAAAGCAAAAGACAGAAAGAGGAGGTACGGGTAGCAAGGAGGTGAAGTTCTTGCTTGCTATGTCCCTCACCCCAACCTTGTACGTTTGTTGTATGCTGTAGGGAACAGGGAAAGGGGATGTTACTAGAACCTCTGCAGTAAGTCCTAGTCTCCTGCGAGCCACAGCAGCACAAGGCCAATTACAGGAAAGGTAGAAAAATGAAACTGAGAAGAAGCTCAGCTTTGGGTCTGATCAGTGCTGCTCTGGGCGGCAAAGACGAAAGCCCCCAGCTTACCGCACCCTTTATTCAGTACATCAGGAGAAACAAATGTAACAAATGACTTACAGAGAGTTCAGTACATCCGGGCAAACAAGATGTAACAATCCAAGAACAATGAGGAACTGAGTAGATGTTTGTTCCTCCCAGGATGTTTTCAGCTCCCTGGATGTTTCTTGTCCTGGAGAATCACAGCATCACCGGATCATTGAGGTCTCAGTTGTGGCCGGAGGCCAAAATGGAATTATGTCTTGGAATTCCATAGCTGGGCTATAGGCAGGAGAACTAGGCTAACCAAATGATTTTTCCCTAAAATTATGTATAGCATTGCTCCCGACAGATGCAAAGCTAAAGACAAGCTTTCCTTGTTCTTGAAAATTCAATCAGTTGTTTCT